TTTACCAAAATTAATATTTTTCAATGATATTCAGGCAGAACCGAGTTTTGTAGTCGAAAAGTACAGTTTGCAAATTTTGTTGCAAAATTCCAAATAGTTTTTTTTAAATCAACAATCGAAAATTTTTGCAGTGTTTTCGAAATTATTATTTTTCTTTGAAAGTAACTGTCCAACTGAAACAGATTTGTAAAACATTAAACTATGCAATGAAATTATTTGCGTTACAAAAATATTTTTTTTTTGCTTTTCAATATTTTTTTTATGAACAATTGAACATTTAAACAACTTCTGCGCTTCTGGACGAAATTTTTTAACAACAACTTATGAAATAAACATTTCTGCATTTATCTATGAAAAAAATGCGTGCATTTCGATAAAGTTTGGTCGGAATGAATTTTTATTTGCCAGCGTGCGCGCCCGATTCTCCCTTGATTGTTAAATAGTCTGTAAGAAATTATGCTTTCATAGACTGATTGATAAATAAATAAATAAAAAAATTTTTTAAATGTTCAATTATTCATAAAACAAGTAATTTTTAGCAAAAAAAAAAACCGACTTAAAAAATATATATATATATATATATATATTTCATGATCTAATGATCGGATCTAAACCAGATTAGTACCACCTCTGAGACACTACCTTCCCGATGGAGAACGAATTATCGAAATAGGTTGACGTGGTCCAAAGTTATGCGGTAACATACAACTTGATGACCGTCTCCTGTTTTGGAAGTCGGTTAAAAGTTGTTGAAAAGCAAAAAAATTTTGTAACGCAAATAATTTCATTGTATAGTTTAATGTTTTTTAAACCTGCACCCAAAAATTGTTTAATTCGGACACTTACTTTCAAAGAAAATTAAAATTTCCAAAACACTGCAAAAATTTTCAATTTTGATAAAAAAAAGTTGTACTTTTCGACTACAAAACTCGGCGCTGCCTGTGTATCATTGGAAAATATTAAGCTTGGTAAATTCGGGCCCCACTTGGGGAGCCTTACCCTTGTTAAAATTTCGATTCTAAGAACAAAATGTTAAAAACAAAAAAAAAAAGTAAATAACATTTGAAGGATTTTGGATATTAGGTATGGTAGCACGAAATGTCATGATCTGCTTAATCGTCAGGTTATTGATATGGCGATGAAAAAGTGACAATGGCACTACCCATGATGCAATAATACAAGGTGTTATCAGTTGGCAACTTCTCGCTCTAATTCCGCCATATTGACTGCCTTACGTGAAACAGTGTTACTTCTTTAACTATTCTTTGCCCATTAATATAGTTGAATGTTTTTTATTTTTTCTCAGTATACACATTTTGTTTTCTTAAAAAGGTATTTATCTTATTTTATTTCATTTCATAACGAATATCCTATAAAAAAGCAAATTTTGTTTAGGAGAAAATGTGAAATTTGATATTTTTCAGCCATATGGGGATTCATTTCTTCCCATTTTTCTCCTCATTCTACTGAGTTAAGGTAGTGTCAAATCGACTTGTCACAACTGATACCACCTTGTATTATTGCATCATGGGAACCATGAACGAAAGACACAAGATCACGTAAGAACAAGAGAGTGAAAAAAGTCGATTTTTTTAGCGGGTTCTACGCCATCTTGTTTCACTGGAAAACGAGCGAAAAGTAAACAAAGCAAAGAAAACAACGAAAACCAAAATTAGCCAAAATTATCGTCGGCCACTTTAAACGCACAATTTAGGTAAAATGATGCGACAAAATGCTTTAAAATGTGTTGTCATGTTGAATTAACTCTTCTTTACTTGAATAAAAGTGTAAAATAGTGGTGCTTGTGATGTAAACAAACGCCCAGCTGACGAACCCGCTTTCGCAAACTTTTTTCTCAAAACCAGTTACAAATACAACGTCGCGTTCTTACGTGATCTTGTATTTTTCGTTCATGCATGGGAACTACCCTCTTTTTTGTATCAAGATGGAAACTGTTATAATGTCTTTAGTTAAAAAGAGGATTCGGACTCCTGAACTGAAACTCGTTTCAGGGCTGTCAAGTGCATCGTACAGTTCCATAAGTAAAGTAACTCTTCTTCTTACCGTTTTGCCTGGCAGGTTGTAGGTGTATTTTTGGTTACTGTATTGGTGTTTTTGGTTTCAGTGTGTTAGTGTATTTTGAATAAATTGTAATAGAAATAAAAGAAATTGTAATAGAAATGAAAGAAATTGTAAAAGTCAAGAGCACATGCCAAAAAACAGGTGATCTCAGCTGTAGGCATTTTTTGGCAATCAGCTGATAGTGTTTTTACTTATGAAACTGTACGATGGTCAAGTATTCGTGTTTTTTTCTTAAGCCTGATATATACAGTTCAATGCGAGCGAGAACGTTAAAATATCTTTCAGAATTATAGAATAAAAACTAATTTAAAATGCATTATATGCCTTTTTTTCGAGCTCATACTAAACTGTGTGCGGACGCGAAGTATTCGCATGTGAACGGCAAGTTTTAACAGATGTGTGTGAGCGTCCATAAGAACACAAATGGAATTCTTGGCCTCTGTGAACGTTCACGCTCACGCTCGCGTTGAACTGTATATCAAGCTTAATGTATATTTAAATGTATATTTGCTAAATGCGATAGAATGAACGCTCTTCGAAAATATATGTTCGAAAGTGCTAAATGTTGCAATTTAGATGTAGTAAAAACGCTGCATACAATTCGTCACCTAAATGCAACTTCATTTCTACATTAAGGGCCTATGTCAATTGATAGAAAAGGGGAAATTTTGACGGATCAGAGTAAAGATTGGACATTTTTCGTGGTGAAAACGATCGTCAGAATTTTACTTAGCTCATGAGGCTAGGTAAAATGTTGACAGCTTATAAACAGGTATACACATATTATTGCTTGGCGGCATGGCACAATAAACAACCCTGCAACCCTGCTGCTGCTACTTATTCATTGTACCATGCTTGGCGGTAATAAAGAGGGAACATAAAATAAAAGTCGACAAAGCGCAAAGGAAGCGTACGTTACTTGCAAGTTATAAAATAAATACAAATTTTAATAATTTCAGCCACACACACAAATAGAGCTTTCGCACGAGCATTTGTTTGGGTTTTCAACTGTCAAAATTTTACTTAGAATTTTTCACAGCAAAATTCAATTTATTTGTACACCATAGCGAATTTTTCCACCCCGTCTCAGCACGGAGAAAAAAGTTACCGATTGGCACAGGCCTTAGGAATATAAAATCTAAAAGCATCCCTGCTGATATCCTGTTATCTTCAAAAAATACCACGATTCGAACATGGTTTAATAAGAAATAGTGTCGTTTCAGNAAATGCGATAGAATGAACGCTCTTCGAAAATATATGTTCGAAAGTGCTAATATAATAATGATCGAATCGAGATTTAATTTATTGTTTTATATTACATTTTCATTGGCACCAAATGCGTGCATTGAAATCAGTCATTTGAAGGTGTTTACACTGCTTGATCCGCATTTGCTTTGACTTCTTATCAACAGAAAAGGTAAGACAAAAACAAAATTAATGTTAAGAAACACTACATTTATTATAATTTTAACAATTTTGGACACAAAATGGGAATTATTCTTTGACTAAACTAAAAATTAACAAAGGTTATATATAAGTTAACAATTTTTATACACAAATTTCAAAGATTTACTCATTTCATTGAGTTTGTTTTGATTTTGAAAAATTCAAAATGTCAAAAACAAACAAAAGCTTTTGTATAACTTTTATTTCTGAGTGAGTTCAATAAAATAGTACGGCAATTGGAACGCATTTGCTTCGTGATTTTGTTTAAATGCGTAATTTTGGAAATGCGAATTTGTATGGATAAATGCGTGATTCGGCCTCGCATTTCAGATTTCTTGCCCAAATGACGCATTTGGGCTCAATGTAAATGTAATATTAGAGTATTTGGATGAACAATGTCACGAAAATCCACATCGATATGATGCTGATAGAAATATGGCCCATTTTGTGATCAACTCTGTTTGTCTTGTTGCGTAATTAATTTAGGCAATTTAAATTAATAGCACCGACAAATGAATTTATACACCAACAAGTTCTCTGAAAAGAACGGAAATCTATAAGAAGTGATAACACGTTATAATTGTAATGAGTGGAAACAACAGGTAGGTTTTTAGCATGTTTTTTTATCCGTACGAATTGATCAAAAAGAAAGCATACTAAAAAACGTACTCAAAAATGGAAAAAAAATTTAACAACAAAATGAATACAAAAACTTGAACTGTGTTAACAACAACTAAAAATTTGTTTGGGTAAAATAATAATTTATCGGTGCTATCAAGAAAAATGGCCTAAAGATAAAGATTTGATCGCAAAACTTGATCCAGATTTCTATCAGCATCACAAAGATGTTGGATTAGCAAGACTTTTTTTTTTATTATAATGTTAAATAATAAATGAAATCTTCATCGGCAATCACTGAAACGCAGCTAGCAACGTATAATACGCAAAAAACCAATGCTGCCACTTTTTCTCATTAAACCATGTTCCAATCGTGGTATTTTTCGGAGATCACAGGGTTGCTTTTAGCATTCAATTTCTTAATGCAGAAATGGAGATGCATTTACTTGCATTTAGGTGGCGAATTTTGTATGGATAAATACGCATTTAGAATAGAATTTAGAGCTAAATATATAGAAATATATAGAAATCTGTCAAGCTTGGTGCGAAGACCCCTAATATGTTCCAAGCTTAAAACACATCTTAGGAATGATAGAATACAAGATTGCGAACGGAGGCGAATAGGAGGTTAAAAGAAACTGTTACATTAGTCAGTTATCTTAATATTAAATTTTTCGACAGGAAACGTATTTTAACTAGTGGTTTCACGAAAACAACTAAAGTAAAATATGATTATTTTTCTGTCAGTTTCCATATTAAATTCAAATAAAAATTTTTCAAATAGTACCAAAAATAGTACTAATCATTATAAATGTAGAAAATGCAGCCCATCAAGTACACAATCGCAGCCAACATCAAAACGTGTAGCACAGATGCCTTTTTGTGTCTTTGCGAACGCCGTTATGCGTAGAGCGGCATAATTTCTGTCCAGGTGTTTTTGAAATTGATCTTTTGTTTGGTGAGTGAGAATTTGCACAAGTGAAGTAATTCAGTAAAATTATTAAAAGTTCCTTATTTTGTTTAGTAAATTGCAAAAACCAATGCCCACCGATCCCTAAAAGGGCAAATACGGACAAAAGCAGTCGCTATTATTAAGAAATAGTTTTGTTCTGAGTCGCAGATTATAAGACGGAAAAACAAATCTTAGTTTAAAATGGCGCCAACAAAGAATACCCGTGCGGTCTCGAAACAGGCTGCAACGTCAAAAATGACCACATTATTGCCCCTGCCACGAAAGGGACTCAGTCAGCGGAGCGCAATTAATGTTCAGAATCAAAATGTGGATATAATACAGACGCGCGGCAAACGTAAGGCCGAACATAGCCCCGCTAAAAATGATAAAATCAAGCGATCTGCGCTTGGTAATCTTACAAACAATGTTAAATTAATGACAATGACGAAGAACCCAGAGAATTCCGACGGTGACATAAAACAAAATCAACTTTTTTCTAAAAGGAAGGAAATTCACATAACGCAATCACAGGCGAATGTGCTCAAGGAGACACAGATTACGATAGGAAGTGATGATGTTAGTTCACGTCAAATTGCACAGAAAAAAATCGCAACTAGAGCAAGTACGCGGAATGCCAATACAACTAACACGACAAATGCCAGCATTTTGGAAGAGTCGTATAAATTGGCGCTATCAAATGTGAATGTTGTAACAACTGCGCCTACAGCGAAATTGCGTAAATCGGAAAAGGCTACAATACTGCCTCCACTACCGGCGGCACCCATTGTAGTAGCCGTTCCAACAAAACTATCACAGTCCAACAAACCAGTACGGCGCATTTCTAACGAATTTAACAAGACTGAAGAAAGTTTGTATATGTCCGCACTGGAGGATATTTCTAGTAGCGAGTCTATGCGCCTGTCTGGCAATTTTGAAGCTGCTAAGCGGATGTCAGCCCTAATATTACAAGAGAAAAATAAGACTGAAGGGATATCAGTTGAAGAAACTGGTGATAAGCCACCGCCTGCAACGGTGCCAGAAGGTGTGGAAGATTTCGACAAGACCAATTGGAATGATATCTTTCAAGTGTCGCACTATGCAATGGACATATTTAATTACATGAAATCCCGTGAAGTGGAGTTTCCTATAATTGATTATATGGAAAAACAAATTCATTTGACTAAGTGGATGCGCACATTGTTAGTCGATTGGATGGTTGAGGTCCAAGAGACATTTGAGTTAAATCATGAAACGCTATATTTGGCAGTAAAAATAGTAGATCTCTTTTTGTGTCGAGTCGTTATCAACAAAGATGTGTTGCAATTGCTAGGCGCAGCTGCGCTCTTTATAGCATGTAAATTTGATGAGCGTACTCCACCCTTGATTGAAGATTTTCTCTATATTTGCGATGGTGCGTACAAACATGATGAACTGATACATATGGAAATGACTACCTTGCGCACAATTAACTACGATTTGGGGATACCTTTGTCATACAGGTTTTTGAGACGCTACGCTCGTTGTGCTAAAGTTTCAATGCCAACTCTCACATTGGCCCGATATATATTAGAGTTGTCACTTATGGACTATGCTACTATTCAATTTAGCGACTCTAAGCTGGCATGTGCTGCTTTGTTTATAGCTTTACGCTTACATGGCGATAAAAAACCCTGGACACGAACTCTCGAGTTCTACAGTGGGTACATTCTGACTGATTTTGGCGAAATAGTGCCAGTTCTAAATGTTGGGTTGCATCGTAAACCAAAAGTGAAAACAATACGCAGCAAATATTCTCACAAAATTTTCCATGAAGTGGCCAAAGTGTCACTACTTACAACAGAACAACTTTTCGAGGACAATTTAGACCTGAATACTAGCATAAAAATAGATGATGTAAAGAATTCCTAAGATTTATTTTTAACAAACAACAAAATTATTTAGCTAAATTACATGAATACGCAAATTTATTAATACACACATCGCTCGAACAATGAAATAGTAAACACTAAATTAAACGATCCTCACCTTCATCATAGCATACCTCATCCATGGCACACTTAATGCTTTTATATGTAAACTATCATGGTTGTTGAATTAGTTTATAATTTTTGTTCTAATTTTAAGCACGTCCGTAATGCACTTAAGACATTTGTTTATTTGATAAACGTATTGCGCATACATTTCGTAATTTGTGTCTCGCTTTTGGATTCCATTATACACAAGAATAAAATATTTCGAATGTAATTGGCGCAATAGTACATTTTGCAGTCTCGTTCAGTTACACAAGGCGAGAAGTCATGTAGCGAATCCTTTAGCCTGTTTGTGCTTGGTCAACTCAGGTAGCAAGGAAACATTGTGAAATCGACGTTAATAGGTACAAAATGTTAAAGCAATTAGTAGCCTATGCATGTAAATCATCGATGGAAGCTAATTGGTGTGATAACGAATACGCTTTTCAATGCTCATCCGAAATCGCATCCAAAATAAATAAATTTTGTAAGACACTTTCTATAAACCCATACCTAATTTAATAAAGCATCAATTAATTCAAACAAGTTTTGGACTTTTAAGCATTTTTATGTTATATTATAATATTTCTATGTTATATAAGTTTCGCATGTGTTCCCTCTTTTGTTATATTTTAGTTTCCATATATTAATTTCAGTATAAATTGAGACTTATCTCAGCTTGCATATTCTTATTAAGCTTTATGTTTTACATTTGAAATAAAGTTATGCGACGAATAGAACAGTTGATAAATTTTGTGTAGTTAGCTGTATGCACATACTTACATACATACTGGCGCTCACGTAAAGAGCACACATTTATTTTTTACAATAGGGTTTTTCTCTGAGTGTTGCAAAGCTCATGCACGGTCCACGGATTGCACGGTTTGCAAAGCTGTCCCATACGAAAACTGGTCTCGAATCGTAACATCCGTTCACGGATTGAAAACGATACGAAGGAAAATTACGTGATACGTCAGGCAGTATAAGCTGAATGGGACAAAGAGTACGTTCACGTATGTCATAATCCGAAAAATGTGTTTTTACGTGACGAGTAGTACGATATCGTGTGTGACGATTCGAGCCCTGGGTTTTACCGTGCAATCTGTGCACCGTGCAAGGACTTTGCAAGACTCGGAGAATACCAATGTTTTACGTGATGCATTTTTTTTCAAAAATATAATGAAAATATGGTAGACTCTATAACATAATCCATGAAAGTCAAAGCCAACAAAAAAAAAAAAAAAATCAAAAATTATGGGTTTTGCAGAATTTTCAAACCTGCAAATTATTATACTAAAATTGCATACCCAATAACTTTGTAAAAATTTTGAATAAAAAGCTGAAAACATGGAGTGCGCGAAGTTTTAAACTTTGACTTATATGGTTGATGATATGGAATTTACTCACGGTGGGGAGAATACAGAGTATTCTATCATTCTTGGAATTTACTAAATTCTTATAAAAAAATACACCAGAAGAATGTATCACGTAAGACATTGGGTGCGTTCAGAAATGCATCAAGCCAAAGCATCAGAGTCTTTTATTTCTAAACTATAATTATGCATATAACCTAGATGATGAACTAAAAGTACTTTACAAACTTAAAATCTGCAATTTCAGATATTTGAATTGACCATAAAAACTCTGGGTACGAATTTTTTTTCGCAAAATATTCCGGAAAAGTTTTATTTACTTCTCTCCTTAAGGTAAAAATAAAATCCGTCNATGGTTGATGATATGGAATTTACTCACGGTGGGGAGAATACAGAGTATTCTATCATTCTTGGAATTTACTAAATTCTTATAAAAAAATACACCAGAAGAATGTATCACGTAAGACATTGGGTGCGTTCAGAAATGCATCAAGCCAAAGCATCAGAGTCTTTTATTTCTAAACTATAATTATGCATATAACCTAGATGATGAACTAAAAGTACTTTACAAACTTAAAATCTGCAATTTCAGATATTTGAATTGACCATAAAAACTGTGGGTACGAATTTTTTTTCGCAAAATATTCCGGAAAAGTTTTATTTACTTCTCTCCTTAAGGTAAAAATAAAATCCGTGCGTTCAGAAAAAGGATTTTGTTCTAATTAATTTTTGAATTCTTTAACCTAGATCTAAGAGTTTATGGTGGAGTCTGTATTATCCCGTGAGTACATAAGTATGTTTTTCCACTGCATTTCGAAATTTATAATTTTATCAACGCTTACGTCTTGGTTTTCGTTTTCTACCCCGAGAGAGAATACACCGTCTGAGCTTATCGGAGCTTGAATTACTGCCCGGTATAGTTTGTGTGTTCCCGCGTACGTGGTAGAAACTAATCGACTTACTTGCCCATTTTTCATTTGCTTACGCGCCGCTGTGGTGTAGTGGTAAGCAGTGCGCGCTTCCACTCCGCAGCACCTGGGTTCAAGCCCTGGTCAAACCACCATCGCAAAAAAAATTGTATAAAAAGGTTTTTTCTTAACAGCGGTCGCCCTCGGCAGGCAATGGCAACCCTCCGAGTGTATTTCTGCCATAGAAAAACAGCTTCTCATAAAAATACAATCGCCCTTCGGAGTCGGCATAAAACTGTAGGTTCCTCCCCTTTATGTGGCAACATCAAGGCGCACGCCTCAGATCGGAGGAGAAGCTCGCCCAATCTATTACATATATTATTATTCATGCCAATTCTTAATACTGCCTGGGAGTTTGTTCTCCGGGAATTTGTTTCTTCCGAGAAAGAAATCCACCAATAATTAACTCCCAGGGAGTAGCATTTTCCCCTAAAATTTGGGAGGAGGGAATTCGAACTTCAAAAAAGCTGTTTTGACACTTTTTTGAGAGCTCAACTCCGCTATTTAATATAAAAAATCCTCGGGAAATTTTTATTCATGATAGGAGGAAAGGGAAAAGAGAGAAAACTCCCGGTGAGTTTCTGTTGAGAATCGGCCTGATTATTATTATTACACGCCATTTGCATTAGGGATGGAACTATGTATTAATCGAAATAGAATAACATGAAGTCATCGAAAATAGCCTGAGATCACTAAAGCCAAATGAATTTTCGTCAACACTTCGTCGCCTGGGTAAAAGATTGTCGTAAGCGCAGTTTTGACAATATTTAGTTCTAGATGCAGTTATATGTTTTGAAATAAGGTCTTTCGATTGGTGCTATCAGTTTTTAAATATCTCCTTTAGTTTCCGAGATATTGACTAAATTTTTTTTTGATAATTTAGTAAAAATTTAGTTAGTGAAGCGGTCATATTAAACTAATCAATGTCTTAAAAATGGCGTTCTCCATTTTTGGATATCTCCTTTAGTTTCCGAGATATTGAGTAAAACGTGTCGTTAATTTAGTAGAAATTTTGATCACATTTTGTCGTACTTCATATAAAGTGGCCGCCGAATTGTGGACAAATGACGCTTACGACAAAATTTTACTAAAAAAAATCCTTCATAAACTCAAAACTAATTAACAATAAACATTAAAAATTAAATAATTTAAAAATTTTGTGAACTAGTAACATTTTCAGAGACTTTGGAGAAAATCTATCTTCGCGTTTTTGAGAAATTGCATTCCCAACTTCAATCGCGATTTCCCACAACCTGCCGAAATTAACATACGACAATCTTTTACCCAGGCGACGACTTGTACAATGATATAACAGTTTTTTTTTTAATCTTAATATATTACCAAATACAACTAAAACTTCCAATTTTCGGAGCTAAATAGGAAAATAAAGACCTAAATCTAGCTCCAAAGGCACAAAAATGGCAACACTGAATGATACCCGTACTTTTATTTTGCAAAGTTAAGGTCAACTTGCTTTGTAATCTAATGTACGGCTGTGCCTTCCTGAGGCAGTTGGTTCTGATTTTAGCAGTTGGGTGCGATTGTATTGTTTCATTGTTATGTGAAGATACATATCGATGTACATTAGACTGCATCACTTCCCATACAAAAAAAATCGGTACTGTTTTTTCATTATAAAATCTATTATATTTTAAGACTTGCATCAAAATATTTCGTAAAAATATCAAGATTTAAGCGAGCTGGACCGATTTGAAAATACTCCCAATAATGAAGTTTTTAGGAATAAAAATAGTTCCTTAAAGCCTTGTTGTTTTACAAATAAAAGTATATTTATGTCAAAATCGCTCAGTTATGTTCGAGTAAAAATTTCGAGGGCAAATACACCGCCATTGATTTGAATTCAAGTTTCCTCAATTTTGTTCTCATAAGTACAGCTAAAAGCTTCTCTTAAGGCGAATTAATCGTTCTAGTTCAGCACTTTTTTTCCGTGTGGTTGTTGTTAACTCAACTTCAACTTTAGTTCAGATCTAGAACGATGAATCCGCCTTTATTCCACACAAATTAAGGAAAAAAAAAAACATTTTTCCCGCCTAAAAATAAAAGAAATATCCGATCGCAATGCCCGTAACGCCAGGATTTACCCATGAATATATGTACATGTAAAGTGTAAAGTCATAATCGAGTTATGATCATTGGATAAATTATTCAATTTCACCTAGTTCACAAGCTATTTATTGAATTCATTATAGTTTATTTAAAATAATATTGGGAGCTTCTATTAATTTTTCAAATAACAGAAAATGCGAAACTAGTTTAAAATGACGAGTTACCTGCTTGTGCTGAAAGTTAATAGTTATTTAGTTAGCTAAATGTCACAATTCCAGAATGTTTACGAAAAAAGATAAATTTCGGACTTATCCCATTCTGCCATGGAGCCACTCGAGAGGAGTCGGCTTTATAAAAAACATATGTATGCACATACAAACATACATGCATATATACATACATATCGTTACTTTAATAAAGAAAGCCCCTAACTGATACAGTCGCTGAAATACAAGAGTCCTAACTAACTAAAATTTTTTATTGCTTAAAATTAAGTGGGGACTTATAAGTCGATGAAATGCATCATAATCTATCAAAAAGATAATTTGGGATTTATACTTAGTTATGCCTTTTCGTATTTCAGCGACAATGTGTGATAGGGCCTTTCTGTATTAAGGAAACGATAAATATGTATGTATATATTTATATGTATCTGTTTTTANTTAGTTATGCCTTTTCGTATTTCAGCGACAATGTGTGATAGGGCCTTTCTATATTAAGGAAACGATAAATATGTATGTATATATTTATATGTATCTGTTTTTATTTTTATTTTTATTTTTATTTTTATTTTTTTTTCTCTTCGTCAGTATTTCAACAACAAAAACTTAATTGATACACGACTGCTCAGTAACTTATTGTAAGCCTAACGGACGTCCTTGATATGGGCCAAAGTAATGCCCCGTTTCTTGATATTCAGTATTTGATTTTAGCGAATGATCCATAGAACTAACACCGTTTCCTGAGTCATGTTGTCCTCTGGAATAGTTACGCTCTTCTGAATCTTCCTATGATGAATGGCGATGATGGTGTTTTTTATCTGAAGAATACGCCTGCGTTGGTATGCTTGGATATGGATTATATGTGGGAACACTCGGATATGCAGGGTAATTTGGATATAGGGAATAGTTTGGATTTGCATTGTTGGGTAGCTGAGCAACATTAAATGTACTAGCGCCTGGTGTCGGCTGTGGAGCGCTATAAGCTACAGATGGATATCCTTGTGGTGGTGTCCTCTGATATTCCGCTGGCATATATGGCCCTGCGTTAGTTCCAATATAGTATGGAAATCCCATATATAGATAAGGATATGGTTGCATTAGGCTGCCAGGTCCGTCTTGATGATGCCCATGATTTTTAGTAGATCGATAAAGCAGCGAGGTAATCCTGTCGAAGATTTTTGTGTTTCGTTCGCCGCTTTCATCACTTTCATCGCTATCAGCGCGGGATGCTATTATCAAGGCGAGAAATAATGTCGAACTTGTCACTGAAGAAATAATTCGCATTTTAGCTACGTGATTAAGTCGCGTGCAAAACTGAAATATAAACTGAAGGGTAAGTTTTCAGCCTTAAATTTAATAACACGAAATATTGGAAAATGCATATTTGAAATCAACTTATTGCCGTTTGTGATTAGCACAGATAGTAATTTAGCGTCTATCACAAAGGTTTTCGGGCTATCAGTGAATTGAAAGTATTTACGTACACGGAGAAAAAATAGACCATATTCACTTAGTTTCAAACTGAAACCCATAATGGTTTCGCGCCAAGCGATATTTTATTTACTTTAAACAGATTTCTGTTCGGCGATTTTTTCGTTTAAATCCACCAGTTGGCGACAATTTTCGAATCGCTATCACAGTTTTAGACGCAAAAACATTCATATTAAAAGTGCGTGGCGATACGAAAATTGTCTTTAAAACCCCCCCCCGGGTTTTCACCTAGATTATTTATAGCTATGTATAATAGCATCTAAAAATTCTAACTATATTTCTTTTATTGTATTTAGAGCTGAATTCTGGAAAATTCAAAACTCAATGCGATTCGAAAGGCGACACGGACTAATACTTTTCGAATCGCAGTACAGAGTAGACCCTCAAAACTTTTCTTTCACGTGGTTGATGTTGTGTTTCCCTCTCTGGCAGAGAAACTGAGAAAACTTCTAAACGCTTTTGAGTTGTTACTTAATTCAACTTCAACTTTAGCTCAGAACTAAAACGACGAATCCGCCTTTAGTATCGTCGGGGCAAAAAACTTTAATGTTTTTCAATTCTACAGAATTTTGTCTTTCATTGGTACCCACATTCTTATTGTTAAATAATTTTTTGAATCAATCATATCTTTAACATTTTAAAGTCATTAGATTGTTTCGTGTATTTTGATTTTTTTTTGTTTTTTTCGCACGGTGTTATATAAAGAGAAGTCCCTTTTTTTGTAAAAGGTAATCTCGCGAACGGAAGGTCAGATTTTCATGAAATTTAGTAAATAAATAGCTTTCAGCAGCCTCCATGTCAAGGGTCCGATTTACTTGGTAGGCTTGTAGGTATTAGTATAGTAAAGGCTATTAAATTTGCTATCATATACGTCAACAAGATTATGGAACTTGATAAGCAATTTAGGAGCTATACATGGGCTGTACGCATACCTGTAGTGAAAGAAAATTGTTTGATACATTTGTTAAAGTTATGCAAACCTGTCGATTAATTAATGTATAGCTTCTTTAGTTTAATGGGCTTAGTAAGGAAATTTGAGATTGGCCATCTCCATCCAAAGAAACTTGCAATTAAGTGGGTGCACTTTTTCAGATCCCAAAAACCCGAAATTCGGCAATATCCCAAAAATCTTTCTACTTTCTTGTACTATGATTTCGTATTCGGATTCAGTGAAAAGTTCTTCATAAAAATTCATAGAAAAATGTTGCAGTTGGCCAATTGGATCTAAAGAAAATTGTAATAAAATGAGTGCACTCTTTCAGATCTCAAAAACCCGAAATTCGACTATATCTCAACAACTGTTCTACTGTCTTACATTTTAGTTTTGTATTAGGATTCAGTGGGATATTTTATATTACCATGCATAAAAATGCCGCTGGTCGAACAATTTTTTTAATTTCTGTAAACTTGTGTTATTGCCGACAAAAATGCAAGGGGGACCCGATTGAGTTCTATGATGAAAAACGTGTAGTCCTTTTGCCACGCCCAATTCAAATTATATACCGTTGGAAAGCTTGGAAAATAAGCTATCGAAATAAGCCATTTGCGAAAACAACAAAAACGGTACATTGTTTACAAAATGCAATAAAGTAATTTTTATTGCAAATTTTTTCCAAAAAAACATACATAATACATACATACATACATAATTCTTCGGTAGGTGTGTTTGTGAGTGCAGTCCTTATAAACGACCCGTGTGATTTCAATGATTTTTGTTTATATGTTTAAGTGGGTGCCTGTATAAATTAAATTCTCAAAAATTAGGATCAAAGTCAAATTATCACCGTTAAATCAGCCACCAGAACCATTGCGGGTTTTGACTTACCGTGACTAAACAAAATAAATGTCTACAAATACAATTGTAAGATATTTAGGGTATTTCTTCTGAAAGAAGTCTATTCTATATATATTGGATTTCTGCGGACCAATGATACTCCCCATTTTGAAATTGCCACCAACTGTACTATACAGAATCAAGAACGATTCACCAACGAGCCGGATCATTGTTGCCGCAAGAACTTCTTCACGAACGTAACGCTTTCATTAGGTTATTTAAGCCGGCAATCGAGGATATGCCTTCTGACGACCACAAAGCCAAACGTGAACGCGTATTGTTGGTGAAAACGTTGGACCAAATATTTTAATAAAAAAATAATTTTGGGCGAGACGAAGTTCAGCCGATGGTGTATTCTTATTCCTAAGGCATGCTCGACTTTTTCCCGACAAAGGACTGTTGTTTTAGCGATCTAATATTGTTAAGATCGACGAAATCCATCAAGTGTGAATTTTTCACAGATGATCCAGACATTCCACACAGAACTCTAAGCCCTAATACATACTAGCTACTCAAGCGTAGTGAATAACTAAGTGAGAGGGGAGACTGTTTAGTGCTGTGGCCAATGGTAAAGTTCATTTACCACCTCCGCATGATTGTAAGTCATAAGAGTCAGCAAATGGCTCCGAAAGCATTGTCCGGAGGATGCATCAGACTTGCTTACTTTTTATTGTTATACCTAATTTACCAAGCTTAGAAAGCATTTTTCGTTTTATTAAGACCCGTTAAATAAGTTGCTTAATTTTAACGGGATTTGTTAAATTTTTTTAACGCCTTTGGTAAATTTTATTTTTCGAGCACGGCAACACGGCCGAGCATACTCTGAACTGCCATCAAATTTTAACTTAAGAAAGTTTTATTACATGGCAGTTGAGAAGTGCATGAGCAAAAATCTCATAAATTTAATGAAGCAAATTTTTGCATATGCAGCAGTAAACAGCATGTATTTAGGCGCCCGGCGTCAGCAGTTGCGCCTAAGAACGTAGACTTTCTTCTCTTCTTTGTTATTATCATTGAATTTAATTTCATTTATTAAACAAATTCATTAATAAAATAAGATCTAAAAGCTCTTTTATACATAGTACAACAGTAATTATAAAGTAACGAAAGAAAGGCTCTAATCTTTGCCAGTTTATAATAATTTAATTTTTTTTTTTTTAATTATTCTAAATATGATGTATTGTTAGACGATGTTCTGTCATTCCTTGTCAAATTTGGTTTCGAACGAAAAATGACACTGAAGATGGCACAACGCCGAAACCGGTTTGTCTCCAAGCCAAATTTGAGAGGGCATGTCGGAAAATCATTCCACAATACATCAAACTCCTACCCTGTCGTAAACACAAACAACCAAAAAAGTTATTTTAATTAATTTAACTATTTATGTGAAATAATTTTTTTTCTGTTTTGCGGATTTTGTTTTGGGGATTTCGCTTTTGGCGATTTCAAGCCCAACCCCTCCAAAGTAGCATTCAATCGACGTTATTGGGATTAATATATCAATTTGAATAAAGTCCTGTCAGCTAGTGAGATTTCTACACTAAGCATTGAAATGTTACCAACATATGTATATATAAAGAAAGTACTCGCTTCTCAAAAGCACTCCATACTCACAACACTAACTTATACTTTTACAAGTAAATACATACATAAACATATATTCGAAGTAGAATTTTCCGTTAACTTTTGCTTTATAGTGTATCGATCATAGCCCTCATCGATATCATCACCGGCGGTGTCATCGTTTGTGTGAACTCGTATATATGTATGGATTTGTACTGTATTCGCACTGATAATGTTTTTTTAATTTCAAGCTTTTCAATGTTAATACCACAACCCAGCGGACCTAATGCTCGCACATGATAACGCATGCGAGTGAAATGCGAGATTTAACCCGGAAAAACTCTCGCAAATTAATTTGGGAACGATAGCAATATGACTTATATGTCGTTCAGTTTGTGGCAGTGAAACTTTCATTTACGATAGTTGCAAGAAATAACGTTAGTGAGCATTTCGCGTTATATTTTGCAAGGTTGTTCTGATATTTCTAAAGATAAAATACTAAATGAAAATATTTTTGTAGAGCCGGCATTAATATCAAATAAGTATCGCAAAAGATATCGCAAACGGTTCACAAGAAATAAGGGTTGAAAGACTTATATTTGTTTCATTCCCAATTTAATCCCCGCTAATAAATTTTTTTTATTATTATTTAATGCTTTTTATTGTTTATATATATTATTGTTTAAACTAACATTCGGACATAGAAGTAATTGAAAGCTGAAATTTCACATACATAACATAAAAGTATTACGCACTTCTTTGGCAGCTTAAAGGAATCTAGTTTTTGAGTACAAATAAATTAAAAATTATGAAAACAACGCACTCCTTTCGTCATTGAATATCTAATTACAGTACTTATGTATATCGATGGTCCTCTGCAATAACGACACAATTGAAAATTCAAAAAAATAAAAACTGTTACTACTATTAAGTGGCTTTGTCTCTAATCCTTGTCGGATCCACGTGTAATCTTTGGTAATTACTTTAGCTATCCTTACTGCTTACTTTAGTAAGCGCTGGAAATGGAATTCGTCGTGTTTCGTGTTTTTTATTATTTTTTTTATGTACATATGTTACCGCATAACTTTGGACCACGTTAACCGATTACTATAACTCTTTTTTTTTTAAGGAAAGGTGTTACCTCACGGTTGGTCCCATTCTAATTCGGTTAAAATCCGATCATTGGATCATGAATAGATTAACGATAAACTCAAATTTTTATTAATGAAAGCATTGGTTGAAAATTCAATCTCACATATAAATGTTAAAGTAAGGCCCCTATTATGAGTTGCATTCGATCTTCGACTGTGGTCGAAAGTGCTGTTCGAATGAATTTTCATTTGGTGGTGACGCTCATTCGATGAAGAATAGCGCTTGTTCACAATAATATATTTTTCACTGCTGTGAAGCTTTGTTTACAAATCGAGCAAATAAAATAGTGTACTTATACATATGTATCTATGNCGCTGACTCGCCAGGAGTGAGTACACACAAAATTTGCAGTATCAATTCCTTTGCCTTGACCTTTCGCTAGCGATTATCTGGTGTGAAATTGGCGATTACCAATCGCTAGCGAATTGCCTAACAATCGCTAATGCATCGTCGTAGTTAGCTTATGGTCGCCTCTTGTCACCAGTACAACTAAAGGGTAGTGCTTTTGTGCATGCATACATATTTCTGCCAATTTGATGTTTCACGGTCAAGTGATAGTCGAATTGCTGTTGCTTTGCTGCCGCTGCGCTGTCGTTGTGCTTTCACATATTGTTTTTTAACTGTCTGGTTGCTTTCGAAATTTTACAGCAAAACGACAGCCAAAGCATTTGCTTTTTTCCGAATTGCTGTTGCTTTGCTTTCGATATCACACATGCCGAAGTCAAAGCACAGCAAAAGTAAATCAAATGAAAAAATTACAGCATTTTCAAACCCTGGCTGTTATCAATTTTTTTAGCGCTAACTTCGAAGTTACATACGTTTTTCTGATTTACTTAGGCTGCGTTTCTTTATACATTCCAGATAATCCCATTTCACAGCCAGAATAAACAGAATGTAGACATTGCTGGCTTAAATATGTTAAGTAATGAAAATGAAATGTGAGCATTATAAACATATAAAAAAGGAACAGTCCAGCGCCATCGTCTTGGTCTGCAGGCTGTATGGGAGACAACCGCTAAATTTAAACGTAGAATACGTGGTATGGTTAAGAGCACATCAAAGTCAAAAACGAAAGCACACACTAAGAAAAAAATAGCGATAACAAAAGCGATAATAGTATCGATAGCAAAATCGATAAAAAACATCAATAAAGATATCGATAATAATATCGATAGCAAAATCGATAACAAAATCGATAAAAATTGAAGAAGAAGAATCTTCCAATTGAATACCGCAGCTGTTCTCCCAACGAAGTCTTCTAACTTCGCAACTAGACGCCTTAAAGTATCGCACCACTAACGTCTTCGCTCTTGTCACACTCAGCGCAATGCTCATAGTTCCTGCTCCTTTTCATTTTTGTATATGTATCTATAAATGGATGTGGTCGAAAAACAAACAAAAAAATCACACAATTCTCACAGCACGCAATTGAATTTTTAATGAAAAGTAGAAAATGCCAACTTGAAAGGGGTTAAAAGTTATTCAATATAGTCGGTGTTCAAAAGACAGAAATGTCAAAATCTTCTACCTTATTTAATATGCCTTGGTGTAGTCTAGTTTTTAATAAATGTTCTTTAATTACTTAGCTGTCACACACTCGAGTTTGACAAATAAAAGAACACTAATTTTTTACAATAGTGCAAGTAGAAAATATTCTATCACAATATTCACGCTGCAGCGCTCTTATGTGAGGGTTCTACGATCAAAGAAGTTTCACAATCGTCCTTTGCTAACATGCGAGCTCATTTGTGGATATTTTGCGACATTCTCGGTAAAAAAGGCTCGTGCGCTGGTCCGCTGGGTAGACATACTCACATTTATATACATACATACATACATATGTATGTGTTCACATGAGGCGATTTTAAATGCAATTTGTTGAAGGAAAAGTTGACTAACTTCATTGGAAGCGATTAGCTGAAAGGTCGTTCACACCGATCGATCATTGCTTTCAACTAAAAGTTGCTTGTGAAATCGCCTCATGTAAACACCGTATAATATGCCCTTTAACAATTGTCTATTCTGTAGTTGACTCACCATGACTCCTTGCGTTAAAGATGTGGAGATAGACATTGAACACATACGTATGTACATACATAGATAACCGAACAATAAATATTTTTTAATACGTACAATATTGTTTACTATCATCGGTCCTTGAGCAAATGCTTTTAGTTGCGAACACGCTCTTATTATCAATGAACTGTTTACTTGAGCTTATCTCTGGGGGTTTCCAAATATGTATAAACACACAAAACCGAAGTATGTATGTAAGTAAGCATACACATATGTATTTATTCATATAAAAGCTCAATGAAACTAAAAAACCCCCAGTACATTGAATACTGCGAGGGAAGTAATAATTATAAAAATTTTATTTAAACTCTATATGTACATACATCATCAAAACAAATATTCATCTTAAATTTAGAAAACAAAATTAAAAAATGAAGTATACCGTTACTTTTGTATTCATTGTTGCTCTTGTAAATTTGGTATCCTGTCGTCCAACTTTCGATAAAATTGCCGAAGTTTTGCTCGATGCTGTGCTAACCGATACACCAAACTCTAGATATCCACCAGGATCTGGTGCATATCAACAGGGCTACCATCAACATCATCATGATCACCATTATTACGGAAACAGTGTCCAACCTGGCGGCTACTATCAGCATCCTAATGGAGGTTACTCTGGTTCCCAGCTAAATTATTATCCCTCGCAAGCCACGTATACGCACGCACCTCCTTATGCTCAGGGGCCATACTCTCATCACCCCTACCCCTATTCACAGGGACCCCACTCAAACGGAAATTACGGAAGTTACCCAAATCCTGGGGCGGCTTTCTCAATGGGTGCTTCTGTCGAATATCAACCATCAGGATATGAACGGCATCGGTCTTATAAGACACAAGGATACTAAATGTAGCCTTAAATTTTAAAAAGTTATTTATTTATGTTCATATGTATATATATGCCATGCATTTTTTAAACTTGAAATAAAGTAAACCATTTACATACTTAGTTGTTTATTAAACTTTATGTTTTTTTGTTTTAGATTAGTTTTCAATCACAACTTAAATTATCCTAAACTTGTGGGATTTTGCGCATAGCTACATATATACCGCACGCTTAATAATATACAGAATTATTTAAAAATTAAAATTTTGTGGGAAAACGCAGTCAAAGTTTGACCAATTCATATAAAGTGCGTTCCAGAATGTCTACGATTTGCAGGTTTTGCAGGTTTTATTAAAGGCGAAAACAGCTGTTCCTGTAAAACCCGCAAATCCTGCAAATCGTGAAGTGCGGGAGCAGGCTAATAGTTGGTATACCAAAAGACAGATGGAAAGCGGCATATCTTCGCCAGTTTTGGGAAGTTTAGTCATCTCTTAGGCTGAACATATTCTCCTTATTAAGCTTATTCATTTTATGATGGAATCTCCGAAAACGTAAATTTTGAATTATATCTCTTTATTATTAAACGTGCGATATGTAAAGTACTTAGAGCCTTTATATACACCGGGAATGACGGTTACTGTCGAAATTCGATGGATTGTTTGGTGTCTTTTTAATCACTACATTTCAGTTTAGTGTCTAACAATTTCTCTATAAACTATGTGTTTTGTAAAAACCTTTATAGTTATACAAATGACCGAACCAATAATAAAAAATATGTTTACATACTACAAATATACTAAAGTGAAACTTTTTTCGGTTCATTACTAGTTCGTTTTTGAATTTCGTTTAAACTTAATATGAACCTTCTCAGCCTTCGTTTACATATTCATGTTCGTCTTCGTGTTCAACTTGGTTATCTCCGTCTTCACATTTGTAAACGTATTCTTCTTCGTTTTCTTATTCGTCTTCATATTCATGCTCATATTCATCCTTGTTTTTGTATTCGTCTTCCGTTGGTCTTCCTTTTCACTTTTGAATTCGTATTCGAATTGGCCTTCGCATTTGTCTCCATAGTCGTCTTGGAACTAAGATTCGTCTTGGCTTTCGTATTCGTATCCACAGTCGTGCTCGTCGTTGGTTGGTCTTCATATTGGTTTTCGTACATATTTGTCTTCGTCCTCGTATTCGTTTTCATATTTTTTCTAGTCGTCGTGTTCGTGTTCGTCTTCGAATTTGTCCTCCTGTTCGTTCTTGTATTCTTATTCGTCTTCATATTCATGTTCGCCTTCGCATTCGTCTTGGTCCTAGTATCTATTCGTCTTTACATTCCTATTCGAATTCATCTCCATATTCGTTTTCGTATTCGAATTCATCTGCATATTCGTCTTCTTATTAGTATTCGTGCTCGTTTACGTCTTCGATGCAAAAAAAAAAGCGATAAACCAACAAATTTTGAAACCATAAAAACTCTCGCCGTCTACTGAAAAATACCTTTCGAATAGTGCTTTTGTAATCAAAACGTTCCAGTAGAATCGCCAAACGAAGGCCGGAAAATTAATAGGTCCATTCAATATCAAAAAATTGTTACGAATTCTTACTAGTACTTGCAAGTTTTTACTGGAAATGCATTCAATAACCCAAAATATTTGCAAGAGAGAGCAAATTCGAGAGCGTAACAACACGAGAGCTGCAAATTCTGGCAAAGAAAAATTTTACCAGCATGAATTTGCAGGAGTAAAAAGTAAGGTTATGTTTCAAATTCAAATGTAAACAAACTGTTTAAGGGGATGATTTGATGAAATATAATTAGTGAAATGAAAATATGGATGAACAATTTTTTTTTTNCTTACTGGAAAAGTTATTGAATGGACCTATAATATGGGCTTTCACTAGCAGTCTTGTCATGGAAACACAATTTTTGGGGACATTTTTAAGGGAGATGCGTTGAAATGTTTTGACATCCGTGTAATGATACTCATGATAGAGTTTTTGAGTTCTCCCGAACTGATCTTTAGAGGGGCTCAGCCGGATATTTTCATTGATAAGCATTTAAAGCGAAAGTAAAATAAGTCGAATGGATATCATAGGTGTTCCTATTACCCCAACATGCAACCGCAAGATTTCAATCTTCCCACTTATGAAATTAGAAACAATCCGTATTGAAAAACGCGCATACATGCGGTGGCCATTCGTACCGATTTTGGCGGCGCAGTACCGATTTCGAGAAAATTGTCCCGCTGAATATTTTTTAAAAGTGTCCCTATTTTTCATATTTTTAACCATTAAGTACCGATTTTCAGTGTTTGCTCTTTTAGTTTAACAAGTGTCTCCCATTTCTGGACAAACGTGGCAGCACTTTCGTTATGGAAAAGAACATATGTACCTATTACGTAGAATATATGGGAGCCATAAACATAGCCAGCATCCCTATCTTCTATAGTCAAACGGGTACTCTCGCTATATTGCAGTCTATCATTGTTGTCTAAATGTTTTTTAAGGTTTTAATAATTATTTGTTAAGTTTATTTTAGAGAAACGATTCTCTAACTTGAATTGATTGAAATTGTAAAAAATACTGCTAACTACATACCTCAAAAAATTCATCGATGTGAATAATATAAATTGTAGATTTATACTGCGTGTATACATTTTTGCGATAATTTTTTAAGTTTTTTTCTCTTTATTTTGTTTTAAATAAAACTGTATTATTTAGATGATGTTATGTCTTTTTAAAAACAAAATTGTATGTTCGGATTCGAAGCTTTAAAAATGTCCCGATTTTTGTCCCCAGAAATCTGGTCACCGTAGGTATGTTTCTTTGCAAATTAAATGCCTAAAACTTAGCACAAGCCATATATATGTAATATACCACTGATTTAAAATATGAAAACAGAAAGCTTATATTTAAGAATAGCTGCAATGGCTTAATCTTATTTCTCTAAGCGTACGCTGACAACTTCTTTTTTACACCTGCTGAATGTAATAACGGGTGATTTTTTAAGAGCTTGATAACTTTTTTTTTAAAAAAAACGCATAAAATTTGCAAAATCTCATCGGTTCTTTATTTGAAACGTTAGATTGGTCCATGACATTTACTTTTTGAAGATAATTTCATTTAAATGTTGACCGCGGCTGCGTCTTAGGTGGTCCATTCGGAAAGTCCAATTTTGGGCAACTTTTTCGAGCATTTCGGCCGGAATAGCCCGAATTTCTTCGGAAATGTTGTCTTCCAAAGCTGGAATAGTTGCTGGCTTATTTCTGTAGACTTTAGACTTGACGTAGCCCCACAAAAAATAGTCTAAAGGCGTCAAATCGCATGATCTTGGTGGCCAACTTACCGGTCCATTTCTTGAGATGAATTGTTCTCCGAAGTTTTCCCTCNGTTTATTGTTTTTAGCCGTCTCGCAGAACTAAGGAATATCAAACCGATAGTTCTATCTTGTATATACAAAAATGTGCTATTTTTTAGGATATATTCTTATTCATTCGAAAAAACAAATATTTTTTAAGGTTTCATATCAATTCTACGAAGCAATTATAGCAATTTTCGATGTATGTTAGTTTTGGGAGTGGCAGCGGGAAAATTGCAAAAAAAGTTATTTTTCCTTTTGGACCACCCTAATTTATAATCTTCAAAAGTGCCACAACCCAAAATTTTTAATTTTTGAAATTATGCACTAAAAATGTATTCAGAGCTTTTATTCGCCTTTCAGCAAAAGCTCGAGCAAATTTTTGTTTTGGATCTAAAATAAATTTCGAGCTTGCAATATTCCGAAAATAGGTTTCTTTCTTCAGCAGCGTTTTATTTTGCTGTAGTAGTGTAGAAGTGTTTGAATTTTTGTAAACTTGCTATAAGGTTGTTTTTGTATGAGAAATCCATTTCTGGACTAAACCTTTTTCTTAAAGCATTGTTTTGGAATTAAAAATTATTATATTACAATAGGGGAGTTCACGTTTTGTAGCATTTTAGATTGCTACGTAGCAGCTTTACACCTGCATACAATACTACAAACCGTAAACGCCGCTCACTCAGACGTAACTGAACTTTCCCTTTTACGATCGTTTCTCCCCCTCACGCATTGTGCGACTATAATATATCGTCGCTTGGCGCGCAATACCTCGTATTACGGTATTATTATTTTGGTTACCCTATCTCAATGCTTCCCACCTTCACAAATTTAATAGTGTATAATTATACATAATAGAAGCTCATATTTAGTAAGTTTAGTTAGGAAATCACTCAAAAGTTTTGAAAAAAATAAGTTTCTTCGCTCTTTTGTGAAATTTTCGGACTATCTTGTACTTGGTATTACATTTGGCGGATATGAGGTATTGTGCGTCAAGCGACGATATGCTGCATTCTTTG